AAGCAACTGTCACATCTCATACAGTGAGTTGCAACACGGACTGACAAGGAAACCACCAGTCTACCTCGGTCTCCGGCTTCGCCCCGCGGCCACATCAGGCCCTGGCTGACGCCAGCTGCAACTGCCACCCGAGACAGCAACTCCGGGTTTTGTGCACATTAGACCTTCTTCCGGGTGGCTTCCAAAGTTACGCCTTCCTTTTTGTGTAACATCCTTGGGGATTCTAAAGGGCGTAATAAGCGGGGACGCCACTGAAGCCACGGTTACAACATAAATTACTCCTGCTTATTCTCCACTTCTTCTTTAAAAAATAAACTGTTCCTACCACACTGGCCTCCCTTCGTCTTCTCACCTCCTAAGGAACCGGGTCTAAAGACCGCATCTGCTGCTAGGGTTTAACTTTATTATCTCCCTGCGATAGAGTTAGTGAAAGTGAATGGTTCGAACTTGGATACACAAGTCCCCTCAGGCGACGGCTACTGAGCAGACATCACTCGGGGCCCGGCACCCTAGCAGCCGAACTGCACTCATCCGAGAGTCAAATTATACCTGCTTACTTTTCTCTACTTCTTCTTCTGTACAGAATAAACTGTTCCTACCACTTTGGGCTCCCATCGTCTTCTCTTCTCCTAAGGAACCGGGGCCTGAAGATCGCATCTGCTATGGTTTAACCTACTTACTTACTTAACGTCCTGCGATAGAGTCAGTGAAAGTGAATGGTTCATACTTGGTTCAGCCAAGCCCCATTGGCCTTTTGCCTGTCTGTGTGCTGACATCGGCATGCCTAAGAGAACGCCACTGGAGGAATCATAATGTTACTGTGTGTGTTTGTCAAATCATTACAAGATAGATATCAAATATTTACACGTGACTCCGTGCTGGGGGAGCGGGGGGGCACACGGTGTCTTTTATTGACATGGCTCGGGAAGGGGGTAGGAGTGGGAGGAGGTCGCAGCAAGTCTAACAGAGAAGTTCACCGTCCACCATGTGACAGTAGCTTTCGAGGGGGGGAGGCAGTGCAAAAATGACCTTGCAGCTGATGGACAGACAGAGAGAGGGCATGTAGGGATCACTCGTCGTCCTGGACTCGTCCTGCTATATGATCACCGAATGCACAGAAGAGTATGCGTGATGCTTTCAGTTGGAGGAGGAGGTGGCGGAAGCTCAGGGGCAGGAACTGCGCGGTCGTCATACAAAGGTTGCTTTGGGAAAGTTGAGAGTTCGTGCCTTGATGGACTTGGAGGTTGGACAGGGCTGGACCGGATTCAGGCCCTCATCTGACTCGCTGTGGAAGTGTTTCTCCAGGTCAAGACTTTTGGGACTGGTCTGGTCAACATTCAGTTGACCTTGTGAGGCAAATACGGTTATTGGCTGGAATCTGGTCTCCATATCGCCAGCGCTTGTCACGAGCATTCGATGGTATTCACCTTCCTCCGGACTCATCACCACAGGATGCATCATCTCATTGTTTAAGTGCTGGGTAGTAGTCCGATAGTAGGCATCACGCTCGGGCAAGGAGTGGTTCATTGTACTTGTCGGATCCAGGGTCTGATATTCATCTAATAAGAAATAATAATAGTAATAATAAAAGTCCTAGTAGTATTTATTTTAATAATAGTATCAGTATCAGTATATTTAAAGGATATACAAATAGATTGCCTTTGAGTTCCCTATTTGTAAATATGTGTCGTGGTAGCAAAAAAATGATATCTCAGTTTGTTGGCGAGACCAATTGTCCTGAGCCATGAGGTGGTACATAGTTTTTTAAGCAGACAGTGGAAAGACTTCTGGGAATTTTTAAGGAGGAAAACTGTAGCTCTTGCGGGGGGAGGATCTGATTGGGTATGGGGTTTAGGAGAAAAATACTAATGATATAACAATACTTATTGTAATAATAGTAAAAATAAGTTCCTACAGTCAGTGTAAGTTCAGTTGGCTGGTAACAATCTAGTATAGGGATCAACACGGAAACCAACCCCCCTTACAAATTCTGCAATGTAGGACCGGTGTTAGTGGTAATTTATTATCGTATTTTTCAATTATCGCGGGTTTTTTCATTGCTACCTATTAGCTTTTTACATTAATTTCCCTTATTACTTCCTGTTTTTTGATATATGTATCTTATTTTCTCTCATTCATCCCCATATAGCCCAAAGGCGTTTGCCTATGTTTCCCTCAGTAAAACTGAACTAAACTACTGGCCCCGTATTACAGAATTCGGGAGGTTTCGTTTCCGAGGAGATCCACGTAATAAACTGTTAAAACTTGGCGTTACTAGTTCGCGGTTGGACGGAGTTTTACTGACTCCGGGAACTGATTTTTTCGTAGAACACAAAAAACTTGACGCACACAGTATCCTAGACAGTTTCGTAGACACCGTATTCAATTATACAAGAGGAGAAGCAGCAACCTTTTTCTGAGGAACTAATTAAATTTTTTGAGGAATTTTTAGAAACTCATCAGCTTGAAGGCGTACTGTCATGTGAAAGTACGGTGCAGTAGTGATGAATCCAGGTTACTATTCCCAGGTGAATCGTGACATCCTCCAAGATACGCTGATCAATGCGGACTTGTTGAGCTACCTGTTCAGCCCTGGCCATCCAGCGATTCGCCACTACCGTCAACTGCAAAATTTACATTGTTACTTACAGTTTATGCTTTTTTCAAGATTTTTTGTAGATGTGTGTAACCTCATTCCCTTTGAATTTAGTATCCGAATTCAGAAGCTTGTCTACGTTTCAAACTATATTTGAATCCTCCATGAAAGCCAGAGAGTCCC